AAAAAAAAAAAGTCCCAACCTACATCTTCTCTACCATATGAGTATAATATTTTTCTAATGAGTTTAGAAAGAAGAAAATATTCTAAATAGTTAAGACTAGCCAAAAAGTGTATTTAGAGGTAAGGGGAAAAAACAGTTGTTTTGTCCATTTATGTTTCTATATTTGAAGGAAAACAGGCAATACCACAAATGCTTATTACCTGTGGAGGACCAGATGATATTTATAATGGCAGGTGGCAGGAAAACTTATTGTTCTCAGACATAATTGTTTTTCTAGGATATGCTTTGGATACCTATAGCAATTTATAATTTTTCATTTGAAATATACTCTTTGCATGGTTCATTTAAAAACTAGATTGTTTATTTCATTCTTGTAAGTATTCTACTATTATTTGCTGTGTATTTCCTTAGTGATAGATTTTTATTTTTATTGAACTTGAAAACATTAAAGAGAATACATTTCTAAATTATTTTAAATGACTAACATAATGTTTTATTGAAATACAAGTCTCTGTGCCAGCAAGTTTAATACAGTATTGGAGGGTCTATTTTCTTAAGAATCAAATATACTATATGAAAAATAATACATAAATTATTAAATTATTAATTTAGCTACCAGTTTATTTCAAGATTTTTTAAAAATAATGCAGGTCAATGATACTCTTTTCATATATCTAAATACAAGTCAGCTATTTAAATCATTCTGAAACTAACCCTGATTATTTCCTTTTCCATCAACAGAGCATCCACAAACTTTTTTGTTCTTTCAGCATGTGAAACATCTGGGCATATACAGTTTTCAGTTTTGTGATATTTAGGTTTGCAATATCAGCCTCCAAAATCAGGTTTTATACTGTAAATGCCAATGATAGCTATTCAGTAATGGTGTTTCTAAAGGGCATTGTAAAGTTGAGAAAAGTAAATTGAGCAAGTTAATTTGACATATTTCCCAATTTGGCTCAGCCGATGTGAGTTAAGTTAGAGTGTTCCCAGTGACCCAAAACACCAAGGTTTGTTTCAAGCTTAATTTTGAAGAGCTGTTCCATGAAACCTGTAATACATGTTGATGATTTCATTTCTTCTTCTTCTGTTCCTTTTGGACCTACGAAACTTGCAGTTTTATTTTATTTTATTTTTTTTTTAAAAAAAGCTCTAACACAGTAATTGGAAATAAGAATGGAGAAGGAAAGTTAAATTGTAATTGAACTTTACATCATTGTTGATTTTTATTAGAAACTGAGGTAAGCTTTAGGTTATCACAACTCCATTTTGGAAAAACTGACTTCAGTTAGTGCCAGAGGCTTTCATTTTCATTCGATAGAAATATCTTCTGAGCAGTGACTTAGCATTTGTTTAGTGGAAAAAGCTGTATGGTAGTTTGTGTAGCTACTAAGTATACTAATTATGGGTAATTAGTATACTTAAATTTTAAGAATACCTTTTAGGACAAGAATATTCTGTCTTGTCTTTCAGTATTTTTAAAATTATAACATAAATCCTTAGGACTTACTTGATTTCTAATTTATGGAGGGGCAACTAATACATTTTGTAGTATTATTATAGTTATTATGTAGTATAAACAAATTTGTGAAAAATCTAAACACTCATGTAAATCATAAATATTTGACTATCTGCTTTCACTACTATTGTTGTTGTTGTTGTTGTTATATTATTATTATCATCATCCTATTTTCTCTGGGTAGTAGTAGAGATTGAACCTGGGTGTACTCAGCCATTGAGCTACACCTTCAGCCTTTTCTTTTTTAATTATACATGACAGGGTATATTTTGACATTTATACAAGCATGGAGTATATCTTAGTCTAATTAGGATCCAGTCTTCTTGTTGTACATGATATGAAGATTCTCTGTAGTGTATTTACATATATATATGAAAGTTATGTAAGATTCATTCAACTGTTTTTCCTATTCCTATCGTAGTCCCCAGGATAGGGATATAGCTCCAAGGTAGGGCACTTGCCTAGAATGCATGAGGCCCTGGGTTCAGTCTTGAATACCACAAAAAAAAAAACAAAACAAAGCAAATCCTTATCATTATCACTTCCCTTAATTCCCCTTTGTCTAATCTACTGAATTTCCATTCTTTGCCTCCATCTTGTTGTGTTAGCATCCACATATCAGAACATTCAAACTTTTGTTATTTGGGATTTTTTTTTTTTTGTTATTTCACATAACATAATAGTCTCCAGATCCATCAATTACTAGCAAGAGTCATAAAGTCATTCTTTTTTATGATTAAGTAATATTTCATTGTGTATATATACCAAGTTTTCTTTATCCAGTCATCTACTGAAGGTCATTTATGTTGGTTCTGTAGCTTAGCTATTGTGAATTGAGCTGCTATAAACATTGATTTAGCTGCCTTATTGTAGTATGCTGATTTTAAGTCCTTTGGGTATACACCAAGGAATAGGATAACTTGGTCAAATGGTGGTTCCATTCCAAGTTTTCTGAGGAATCTCCATCCTGCTTTCCGTAGTGGTTGCACCAATTTGCAGTCCCACTAGCAATATGTGAGTATACTTTTTTCCCCACATCTTAACCAGCATTTGCTGTTACTTATATTCTTTATGATTGCCATTCTGACTAGAGTGAGATTGATTTGCATTTCTCTAATTGCTAGAGATGTTGAACATTTTTTTTCATATATTTGGTCATATTGTTGACCATTTGTATTTTTTCTTCTGTGTAGTGTTTGTTCAATTTCTTTGCCCATTTATTGATTGGGTTATTTGTGTTGGGATATTAAGTTTTGGAGTTCTTTATATATCCCTGAAATTAATGCTCTATCTGAGGTGCAGTTGGAAAATGTTTTCTCCCTTTCTGTGAGCTCTCTCTTCACATTGTTGATTATTTCCTTTGCTGTGAAAAAGTTTGATACTGTCACATTTATTGATTCTTGATATTACTTCTTGCACTTTAGGAGTGTTATTGAAGAATTCAGTTCCTAAGTTAACTTGATGGAGTGTTGAGCCTGTATTTACTTCTGGTAAGCATAGGGTCTATGGTCTACTGTCTAGGTCTTTGATCCATTTTGAGTTGAGTTTTGTGCAGGGTGAGAAATAGGGGTTAAATTTCATTGTACTACATAGAGATTTCCAGTTTTTCCAGCACTACTTATTGAAAAGGCTATAGTTTCTCCGATGCGTGTTTTTGGCACTCTTTTCCAATGTGAGATAACTATGTTTATGTGGATTTGTTTCTGTGTCTTCTATTCTGTTCCATTGGTCTTCATATCTGTTTTGGTACCAATACCATGCTTGTTTTGTTACTAATGCTCTGTAAATTTAAGGTCTAATATTGTGATGCCTCTTGCTTCACTTTTCTTTCAAAGGACTGCTTTGGTTATTCTGGGCCTCTTGTTTTGCCAAATGAATTTCATGACTGCTTTTTCTGATTTTAATCAAATTGCATTAAATCTTTATAGTGCTTTTGGTAGTTTGGTCATTTTGACAATATTATTTCTGCCCATTCAAGAACTTGGAATGTCCTTTAATCTTCTATAGTATTCCTAAATTTCTTTCCTTAGTGTTCTATAGTTTTCATTGTAGAAGTCTTTTGCCTCTTTTGTTAGATTGATTTTCAGGAATTGATTATATACTTTTTGAGGCTATAATAATTAGGATAGTTTTTCTAATTTCTCTTTTGCTAATTCATTGTTGGTGTATAGGACCACAATTGGTCTATGTGTGTTAATTTTATATCCTGCCCCTTTGCTGAATTTATTTATGAGTTGTAGAAGTTTTCTGGTGGAGATTTTTGGGGTCTTCTAAATATAGGATCATTTTTGTCAGCAAATAGGAATAGTTTGAGCTCTTTTCCTATTTGCATCCCTTGAATTTCTTTCTTTTGCCTAGTTGCTCTGGCTACTTTCAAGGTGGGAAAGAAGGCATCCTGGTCTTGTTCTGCTTTTTAGGGGAAATGCTTTCAGTTTTTCTCCATTTTGAATGATGCTGGCTTGAATTTAATGTACATAGCTTTTTTGAGGTATGTTTCTGTAATTTCTAGTTTTTCTAGTGTTTTGAACATGAATAGATGCTGAATTTTGTCAAATGCTTTTTCTGCATCTATGGAGATAATCAAGTGATTCTTATCTCTGAATCTATTGATGTGATGAATTATATTTATTGATTTCCATCTGTTGAACAAACCTAGCATCCCTGGAATGATTCCTACTTTATCAAGGTACACTATCCTTTTAATGTGTTTTTGTATGCAGTTCACCAGTATTTTATTAAGAATTTTTGCGTCTATGTTCATCAGGGATATTATCCTGATGTTTTCTTTCCTTGATGTATATTTGTCTGGTTTTGGTATTAGGGTGTTACTAGTTTTATAGAATGAGTTTGAAAGAGTTCCCTCCTTTCTATTTCATGAAATAATTTATGGAGTATAGGTGATAGTTCTTTTTTGAAGCTCTGATAAAATTTGGCTTTTCTTTGTTGGTAGGCTTTTGATGACATCTTCGATTTCACTGCTTGAAATTGTTCTATTTAAATTTTCTGTGTCCGCCTGGTTCAATTTGGGTAGGTCCAAAGTCTCTAGAAATTTGTTGGTGTCTGAAAGATTTTCTCTTTTATTGGAGTATAAGTTTTAAAAATAGTTTCTGATTATACTCTGTATTTCAGTTGTGTGCATGGTGATGATTCCATTTTCATCATAAATTTTAGAAATTTGAGTTTTTTCCCCTCCTTCTGTTGGCTAACATGGCTAAGGGTTTATCAATTTTATTTATT